GTGGGTGTGCGCGTGAGCCGAAAGCTTCGATTTTGATGGAATCCCGGTGTCCGTCCCCGCGAGCCCTTCCTCTTCTCCTCTGCTAGGATCATCCATCCACCGAGGGCTTCTCGCCTTCTCCTCCGCCGCCTCCCCCTCCCCCGCCGCTACAACTGCTCTCCGTCGTCCAAGTTCGCGCCTATGGGAGTCGGCTGCTCTCCTTTCCGCGCGTGCGCCTGCTCGCTTGTCTCTTCCCTTGTCGGATTCTCGGTACCGGACAAGCTCGTCGAAGACCATACCTACTACCTAGCCCTGTTTGTGTTTGTTCACCTACCGCTGCCTTCAGGTGCCAAATCGAGATTCTTGTTTGTTTGATTGCTTTAGTTTTATTATCTTTCATTTTTCCCTTTCTTTCTTTTTAACTGCCGCCGTCGAGTTTAGGTGTAACGAAAAGAGTAGATGCTTAGTTGGTTTTCTGATTTGGGGATGAGTTCTTGTGCGCATTGTGGGTTGGTCACCTCGTCTATTTGGCTATTTGTGTGTAACGAAAAGAAGATTGGTTGGTTTTCTGGTTTGGGGATGAGTTCACGTGCTCATTTTGGGTTGGTCATCGCCCTATTCGGGTGTAACAAGATTAGTTGGCTTTCTCATATGGAGTCTGGAGTGAGTAGCATGGCTTGAAATGGCGATGGTTTGACACCCATTTTTAGTGTAGTTTTGGGCAAGAAATGGCAGCCTCTTTCTGCCACAAGCAAAAAGAAGTTGCCACTGCCCCCAATGGCCAATGCCCCTGCTTCGCCTAGCTGAACATTTTTGCTTAAATAAATAAATAAATGTAAAAAGCAAGCGGAGAACAAGGGGAGAGACGCCGCCTTGCCATGTGTAAGCAACGGCGATGCTTTGTTTGCTTGCAAAGCGTCGTGTGAAAGGGAGGCAACCGAGGGAGGAATCCGGGAGAACGAGGGTACGGCCGTTGCTTGTGGCGTTCAATCAGGATAAAGGTTGCCAACTTTGCGTGTTTCCCTCCTGCGTTCCTGCTTAATTTAGGCAGCTCGTTTTCTCCCTTTGTGCCACCTCCTCTTCTTTAGTAAGCGCGCCTCCTCTATTTTGCAGAGCGCTAACACAGCGCTCCTGCGTGTTCATGTGTGGTTTTCTTGTCATGGTTAGGCTATCTTGGAATCGATCGGGTGTTGTAGTTTGGCGATTCAGGTCGACAAGTTTGAAATTGTTTCTTTCTTGTTTGATTGATTCATTTCTGTGGCTGCACCTGTCCCCTGGTTTAAATTTTTAACTAACTGAGTAACCTAATTTTTGCCTAACTTTCCTCTGCAGGTAGCTGATATTCCAGAGGTGATTTCTCCGGATTGACAGAGGGCAAATCTGGTTCGTGATCCCTAGTACCTGAGAGAGCCACGGTTTTTCCAATCGATGTGTTAGAGTCAAGCACACAAGATTTTGCAGTTCCGATGGAGTCTAAGTGTGTGAATGATCAGGATGCCTTGATCGACCTGGAGAGTGGCAATGCCACTGCAGTAAGCAACCATAGCAATGGTGTGGATACTAGTTTTACAGTGGGGCAAGCACGACCAGCGCCTAACGGATGTCCGAGGGATGACAGGAATCAGCACATGGATTGCTCCCCTCCTGCTTCGGATGCTGTCGCTAGAAGCGGAGACGATAGGAAGTCTGAGGGGGAGGAGAAGCTGGGCCTTCTGGACAGTTCAGGAGGGGAGAAGACGAAGAAGAAGCGGTCCAAAAAGCCGCCGCGGCCGCCAAGGCCGCTGACACCTACGCCGCTGGATGTTTCTGACCAGAAGCTCCTTAACGAGCTCAGTGAGCTTGCGGTGTTGAAACGGGCAAGGATTGAGCGAATGAAGGCTTTGAAGAAGATGAAGAATGCCAAGCAAGGGACCTCGGGTGGCAATTTGTGCCCCCTGATCATTACCATTATCTTCTGCATCGTCATACTCTGGCAAGGTATATAGATCTGTTCACTATTATTGATAGTGATCCGTGTCAGCGTCTGTATGGAACAACAAAAGTTTTTGCCTCATGAATAAAACATCGACTCACCCAAAGACTCAAATCTCAAATAGAAGCCAATTCATTTTTTTTTTTTTTGTGTTCACTTCACAGTTAATGTCTTATCAAACCTTAGTAAACTTAGTTACATAGTTGGGAGCGAATACACGTCATGTTATTTGATTTGAGTTGCCACATGCTATGACTTGTGCAACACTGTCAACTTTTGTCTGGAAAGCTTCAGAACATGGCCTGTTGATCTAGTATAACTTTAACCAGCTGTTGTGATTAGTCAAACCATGTAATACTTAAAGAGTGTAGTTTACGCATCAGAATACATTTACTCAAAAGTTTGGCATCTGGATTTTGCAGGTTTCTTCTCAGGACATGGGTCGGCAGTAAGTTTCCATGGATCGCCCGAATCGTCGATCAGGGCACACAGCAGTCTGATCTCTATCAGGTTCTACAAGAACCATTCCAATGTGAGACCACCCAGCGAGACCACTGTAGCTCCTGAGTAAGTGAACTTTCTTCGCCAAGCAACATTTTCATACTCATCAGAATATATAGTACCTGGAACTGCTTGTGACAACCTTTTCCATTTAGCAGCAAGAGCTATCGGTAACACTAGAGTTTCCGGAAAGGTTACATACCATGCTTCACCTGAAGCTGACCCGAATTGTTTGTTACAACCTTTTGCAGTAACGTAGAAACCGTTTCCGTTTTGAGGCTCGGGAATCGTAACCAAGCGAGAAGGCTAGCTCGGTGATCGGACATGGTGGTGGCCACCACCATACACCTGGAAAGTTCGCCACATTTTGAAGCCTCACCTTGACGATCCGGGCTATGTAAATCTTCTAGAGGCCGCCAGCGCCTCCTCGAGGCGCCCCCCTCCTCCTTGGCTGCTGTAAAAATGAATGGACTCCTAGTGTGTTGTGCGCCTGGGTCGTACGCTAACTAGTGAATCTGTTGGCCGTCGTGCCACACAGGCCATGGCTCTAGTGAAGAGAGCAACGCAACGCAAGCAAGCTGTCTGTATGTGTCTGATTATTACAATAATAAAAGGTTTGCGCGCAATAATGAGAGAGCTAATCTGATCCACCGAGTTGTGTGCAGTGCTGCACTTGTTAATTGTTACTGATTACTGAAATCATGTGGCGCGCTCGGTATTTTCTTGGTTGTGGACTTGCGGCCGGCTGGGCTGTTAAGGCTGTTCATACGTGCTAGAGAATAACTGAAAGTTTCTAGTTTCGAAGTTTCAGACTTTGAGCTAGATTTCACAGGCGCATCTGCGTCTGAAAATTCTCAGCTCGGAATCCAGATGAGGTCTAGGAGAGATGCGTACACAGGCTGTGTAGATCTGCACAGAGTCTGTAGCATGGATGTTGCAGGCTTTTGTTCCAGTGAATCAGTGATAAGATGGCTGGACAATTTGGCTGGCCAGATACGATTCAGATCAGATCCACAGGTTCTTGTGATCTTGTCTCCCTCTGTGTTTTCAGTGTCGTCACAGTAATAAGTTCCACATGGCGTTGCTTGCTGACCGGCCTAGTGCGATGCGCCCGGCCGCATGAACCGGCCGGCACGATGCGTCTGCGACACGCTGGTGAGCTGCGAGTTGACCTGAACAGGTTGAGTACACGTGCACAGGCACTAGAGATCTCCGCTGTTTGACTTGTACTGAACATAACATGCAAAGTCTGCATTGCTTCCTAGGCCTCGTTTTGATTGGGTTAGGAATCAATATTTGACATTGTAGTACTTTCGTTTGTATTTGACAATTATTGTTCAATCATGGCCTAACCAGGCTCAAAAGATTCGTCTCGTAATTTACAATCAAACTGTGTAATTAGTTATTTTTTTATCTACATTTAATACTCCATGCATGTGTTAAAGATTTGATGTGATGAAGAGAGAGTGAAAAACCTTACAATCTGCCCTAGGCGGGCGGGACAGCGCGACTCGTGGAGGCCATGTTTAGATTGCAAAAAATTTCAACCCGATGAATACTAGTACTTTCGTCTTATTTGGTAAATATTGTCTAATCGTGGACCAACTAAGCTCAAAAGATTCATCTCGTGATTTTCAACTAAACTGTGCAATTAGTTATTTTTTTTACCTACATTTAATACTCCATACAAATGGCTAAAAATTGATGTGATGGAGAGAGAGTGAAAAAACTTGAAAATTGGAGGTGATCTAAACAAGGCCTGAGCAGGACGGTGAAACGCGTCGTGGCCTCACTGTTACTGAGCGAGTTGACTTGAACGGGCTGGACTGAATTGAGGCCCTAGCTAGACCTCCTCTATCTAGTAATTTACAAAGTGCTAGTGTTTGTCTAGGTCAATAAATTGATGATTATTACTCCAATTTATTTATTTGTTTATTTCAAATGGGATTAGATTAGATGGCTTCCAGGTTAGTTGTACTCGTAGGCACGTGAGCGACATGTGAGTGTGGTGTGGCCGCGTAGTGGGGTGTGGACGCACAGGCTCACTCTTGTGCACACACCGCTTCAAAAAGCATGTTGTTACACTTCTAAAAAAAAAGAATGTTGTTACTTCTTTATCATTCTCCAAAACTACCCGTTGAATGAATAAAGCTTGCTGTGAGAATTTAAAAAAATAAAAAATTCTTTTTGGTTTGTGTAATTCAGTGCTGCACAGTTTTATAAAAGAAAAAAAGCCCACGGCGGGTAACGCACGGTTATGTATTGGGCCAATGAATCTTTTAACTGAAAAAATAGCCCACAACGTGTCACGACTGCTTGTTCTGTTTGGGAATTGGGATGAAAGTAGCAGGCCCAATATGGTTCTTGATTGTTATGTATGCGATTCAATTAGGGCCTGCACTGAAACCACGGAGTGGTGTCTTGGGGCCGCGCAGCCTTTTCTGCCGCCCAAATCGAATAGCAATATCTTCGAACGCGCTTTTACGATTCACGGCCCCTTTCGCATTCGAACGCGCTTCACCTGCGCGCCCGCCATGTGTTCGATCAAATGCTGCCTCCTCCTCCGGCGCCTTCGCGGCCCCCGCACCCACCGCTTCTCCACGGCGGCTGTGAGCCCCAGCCTCCCGCGGAAGAAGAATCATGCGGGGGATCCTCCTCGCGGGGCGGGGCCGCCTCCCGCTCCCGACACCGGGGACGCGGCGGCGGCAAGAGCCCACGAGGCGGCCGTCAGGCGGCTGGCGGCGGCGGGCGACGTGGACGGCGTGCAGCTGGCGCTGCAGGAGATGCGGCTGAGGGGCGTCCCGTGCACCGAGGCGCGCTCGTCGCCGCCGTCGGCGCCTTCGCCGGCGCGGGGGCGCCCGACCGCGCGCTCAAGACGTTCTACCGCGCGGTGCACGACCTGGGCTGCGCGCGCCCCACCGAACCGCGGCTCTACAACCACCTCATCGACGCGCTGCTGCGGGAGAACATGGTGGGGGCCGTCGCGCTGGTGTACGACAACATGAGGAAGGACGGCGTGCGGCCCAACGTGTTCACCTACAACCTGCTCGTCAGGGCGCTGTGCCAGAACCACCGGATCGGGGCCGCGCGCAAGATGCTCGACGAAATGGCCAGGAAGGGGTGTCCGCCAGATGATGTGACCTACGGCACCATCGTCTCCATGCTGTGCAAGCTTGGCAGGGTGGACGAGGCCACGGAGGTGCTGGCTGCGGCGCCGCCCGTGGCCGCCTCCTACAATGCCATCGTTCTAGCTCTCTGCAGAGAGCTCAGGATGCAGGAGGTGTTCGCAGTTGTCGGCGACATGGTGGGGAGGGGAGTGCAGCCTAATGTCATCACATACACTACTATAGTCGACGCGTTCTGCAAGGCCGGCGAGCTGAGGATGGCGTGTGCCATTCTGGCAAGGATGGTGATCACCGGATGCACTCCAAATGTTGCAACGTTCACTGCATTGGTCAGAGGACTATTTGATGATGGAAGGGTTCATGACGCGCTAGACATGTGGAAGTGGATGGTGGCTGAAGGATGGGCACCGTCGACGGTTTCCTACAATGTTCTGATCCGTGGCCTTTGCAGCGTTGGTGATCTTAAGGGAGCATCATCTGTACTCAATGGCATGGAGCAACACGGCTGCTTTCCTAATGCGAGGACCTACTCCACTCTTATTGATGGTTTCTCCAAAGCCGGGGACCTAGATGGTGCCATATCAATATGGAGTGACATGACAAGATCTGGTTGCAAGCCAAACGTTGTTGTTTACACAAACATGGTGGATGTGTTTTGCAAGAAGCTGATGTTTAATCAGGCAGAGAGTCTTATTGATAAGATGCTATTGGAAAACTGTCCTCCCAACACAGTCACATTCAACACGCTGATCAGAAGTCTATGCGATTGCAGAAGAGTCGGGAGAGCTCTTGGTGTGTTCCATGAGATGAGAAGACATGGATGCCTGCCAAATGGTAGGACGTATAACGAGTTGCTCCATGGTCTCTTTAGGGAGGGAAACTGTGGAGACGCTCTTCAAATGGTGATCGAGATGCAAAACCATGGTATTGAGTTGAGTTTAGTAACATACAACACTGTAGTAAGTGGTCTATGTCAAATGAGAATGAGCAGAGAAGCCATGTTTTTTGTGGGGAGGATGATAGTTCGAGGAATTCAACCAGATGCATTCACTTTCACTGCGATAATTCATGCTTATTGCAAGGAAGGGGAAGTCAGGATGGCCGCTTGGATGTTTGGTGCGATGAATGTAGTGAACTGCGGTCGTAACATACTAGTGTACACTATTCTAATTGCAGAGCTTTGCAATCAAGATAAGCTGGAAGATGCCATGGTGTACCTACTAAAGATGTTATATGAAGGTATATATCCAAATACAGTGACATGGAACGTTTTGGTCCGTGGAGTTTTTAGAAACCTTGGCTGCAATGGTCCAAGTGATTTCATTCAACATATTGCCATGGACATATCACAGGGACCTGAGGTTCAATATTGTGGTTCTTTGGCTTCCCAACGAAGGCAAAGTTGACAAGCAGCAGATTCTCTCAGATCGTTGTTGCTGTAATTTATTTGTAAGATATGTTATACTCTGTAACATTAACATTCTTTTGCCATCAATGATCAGATGAGTCGAGGTTATCCAGGTGGCCTTGAGCTCTCATTAGGAGGTATCAGTCAAAGTCGTATTTTTTTATCTTTTCCATGGTTATGCACTCACTCATGGAGTGTTTAATGTTTCCCATTGCTATATTCTCTGCTGAAGTCATTAGGACCTGACCTTACACTCTTACTAGTGAACTGTCTGGAACACTTTTTTTTTTCTAAAATATAATTACTACTGGATCTGCACCCTCGTTTTGCTTGTTTACATACAGAATTATCGATGCAGAGAAAAATGCTTTTTGGACACATTGCTTTCATATAAATCTGACCATTAGCCAGATGGCTAGGTGCTGCTAGGAAGGTGACACCTGTCACTCACACGGGCTATAAGGTTTGGCTTGAGGGTGACGCTAAGTGCCTAGGCACCCAGCTAGGAGGCTACACTTTTGAACAGTGGGGTGAACTGGTTGATGTTTTGAAAATGTCCAGTTTGCCATCATGTTGGTGATGGCCTTCACTCTTTAGAACTCTAGTTGAGATTTGAGAATCATCTGATTACTATAGACAAAGCAAAGGGACAATATACATTTTATTGCTTACATATAGCCCTGAGTAGTTGCTTCTCAACATTAAATGCGAAATTTACAACGGCGTTTTCCTTCTTTTCAGCTTATGATCAAATAGGGTACATCTCTTCACTTAGATTTGGCAGCATTCTTCTGTGCCTCCAGCTTTTTGTATACCATGTCAATCTCAGACTGCATGCAAAAGATACTGGATTAGAACTACTGAAAAGCAGCAAGAAACACCGAGAAATCAGTGACTGAAGCAGATCAAGAGTTTTTAAAGGCCTTCCTCACCTGGTAATAGTTCTGCATATTCTTTCTTCTCTTCTTCATTGTTGCAGTCACCAAATCCCTTTCAATGTCAAAAGGTACAGGATCCAACACTATGCCTTTGATGTACTCAAAACCTCGTAGCTGATTTGTGACATGCAATGAGGGTTACCATATAGAATTATAGATCTGATACACAGTGAAAGTTTGAAAAACAAGGAGTCTAGAAAACTAAGATATTTCCTCTTTCAATTTCTTATAAAAAAACAGAAGAAAGATGCATTCAATACTACATTATGATACTTTACGGCGACGGTTTTTGTTTGTCAGAGTGAATAGATGACCATACCTTGTTCTTCTGTGCAACAGCTGCCAGTTCTTTCAGGATGTACTCTTTAAGTCCTTCAAGTTTGCAGATTTCAGCAAAAGAACCCTTATAGCCATTGGACTGTGCCCACTTCATTGTGTTTTCTTCGTGTGGATTGACTACTGCAACTAAACTTGATCTGAAACTGTCCCCATATACCCAGATCTAGAAAAAGGACAAAAATGACAATATTAGATGTTGACCAATATTCTCTCTTAATTCAGCCATATGCTATAGCCGCTGAATTGTTTACTTACATCTTCAACAAGTGGAGGGAAGCCATACACTTTCTCCAGGTACTCAACTGCAACATACTCCCCTTGTGACAACTTAAATATGTTCTTTTTTCGGTCAATCACCTTCAGGATTCCGTCTGGGGTCATCTCTCCAATGTCACCTGAAAATAAGTGTGTTTGAGTATTGTATTGTGGAACCTTATCTATTTTTTTATTTCATTAAATTGAATATTCACCTGTATGAAACCATCCATCAACTATTGCTTCGTTTGTGAGTTCTGGACTTTTGTAGTACCCAGCGAAGAGAAATTTCCGGTGAATGCAGATTTCACCACGTGAAGGGACAGCAAGTGGATCATACCCCATCTCGGGTACTTCTTCCAGTCGTATTTCAGTGTAGGTGGCAGGTACGCCAGCACTTCCAACCAGGGCCATGTCATCAATGTAGCAGACAGTGCTAGGTCCCAGTGTTTCTGTTAAACCTGAGCAAAGGTCACAGAATCTACCCTCATACTGGTTTCTTTTGAATTGGCTAATTGGGATTTACAAGTCAGGCACTTGTTAGGATTGAAACTGAATATATAGATTCCTGAGAAGTTTCTGCTTCTAGTTATAAAAAGCAAGGTGCAAGTATGTGCAAGTGCAATAAAACTAAACACTTAAAACACAGTAGCTTTGTAAAAGTTTTCTCAAAACTAGTATCTGCGATGGAAAATATGAAATAATATTGATTCACAGCATAGAGATAGGACAAGGAGAGTAAAAGGGAAACCTGGAGTCAACCTAGACAGTAAGTAATTGGCGTTATAAGTGTTTACTTCATTTTGTTACACTTTAGTACTTTGCCATTTTCTCATTTCTCTTTCCTTTGATGCTACAGAATTAATTTGGAACAGTAGAAAGTGTTTGTATGCATTACCATAGCCTTGGATAAAGTATGCACAGGTGGTCACTCTCATGAACTCTTCAATCTCATTACTTAACGGAGCCCCTCCTGAAATTAATAAGCGAAGACGACCTCCAAGCCTTGCCTTGACCTAAATCAAACAAATAGCAAGAAGTGCCCGGTATAAAAATTGTAAGTGCTGCTTCTACTGATATTTTTCTTTCTGTGGAAGAAATTTGGCTGTATACATTTCTTTTGTTCTTAGGTAGATATTTAGGTCTAAGAAGCATGTAACCTTGCGAAAAGCCAGCATGTCCGCAAAAGGTGAAGCAGTTTTGTGCGAGTAGCCTGCTTTCATGCTTGCCAGTTTGCTGAAATTCAAAAACTACAGTAAGATAAAGTTGTTTTGCAGCTAGAAGGAACTCAGGATGCCAGACAACTTACCGATTGTACAAAGCATTAAAAATTACCCTTCTTAGAGGTCTGAGTTCCGCAATGGCCTTTAAGATACCTAGAGCCATTCATAAGGGCTGTCTGAGTTAACAAAATTTGAGCTTAGTTGGTAGAGATATTCTTATTTCACTACCTTCATAAATTCTTTCGTACACTCGGGGCACCCCAACCAGTAAAGTTGGCTTTAGCTCCACGATATCGTCCCTCAAGGCATTCAAATCCTGACAAGAAAGTAAATATTTGACTGCGGTTTATTGACTAAAGAATGATTACTTGTACGATTAGAAAGGCTAATGTAGTGGATTTTCTCACTCCATGGTAATAGCCAATTGAGGCCCCTTTGTGAAAGAAATACTCTTCGATCATGCGGTCAAGGATGTGAGCAAGTGGGAGAAAGGATAGAAAGACATCATCTGTTGTCATCTGATTACATGAAGGCACCAAGTTTCTATTAAGTCATGCATAAAAGAGAAATATTATCGAACCATATTCAGAGCACTGTATTTAAGGGTAGGAGGTGACCTTGTCATCAAACTGATCCATAAAGAGGTCCACCCCTTTTACATACATGGCATGGCTTTCATGGGTCAGCATCACACCTTTGGGCTGTCCGCTTGTTCCACTTGTATACATGATAGTGCATATATCACTTGCTTGTGGAGGCAAGGTTGACGAGGATTATCTTTTCCCTGAAATCCAGTTCCAAAGCTGATGCTCAGTCAACATATATATGTCAAAACATCAGTTCATTACAAATATAACCATCATAAACATTACTACAAAACCGACTCTGAATAGATTTGTCTAGCTGTTTCAGTAGGTTAAACTGTAAACATCCCACAATTAATGTACCTACCACTTTTAAGAAATCATTCCAGGCGTACATTTTCATCCCAATATTATCTGCTTCTTTGATTTGTTCACTTGTTGCCGAAGTGAATGCCACCAATGCTGTAACCATGTGTTGGACAATGATGTTTGAAACTATAGTCTTTCTAAACTACAAATGGACCCTAAAATTTTTGACATTGCTTACCTTTTAGCCTCTTAGCAGACTTGCAATTTGGGGATAGTATCTGCAGATGAAATGCTCTCATGTAATGTCAGAATTTAAGATGAAAGATCCTGAAGGTAGCAACATGGATAATTCATTTTAATCACACCTCTTTTATTTTCTTGTCCTGTATGAATACAACATCAATCTCAGCATGATCAATGATGTAGTCAACAGCTCCTGCACCTGTATGCTATGGAAAGTTATTGATTCTGAATTTCTAATGCATTACATTTGATTTCTTATTAAAAGCATGTGTTCCAATATTTTTTATTATTTGATCTGAAACATTCTATGATGTGGACCTGCTATTTAATGGTCTCCTACTTACCTAAAGTATCATATAGTGGGACACAGATCAGACTATTGGCATTGCAAGCCTGCAAAATTAATTGTGGATTAGCACAGTTTATTCAGAAAAGATCTGATGGGGAAAGTTAAAATTCATACAAGTCACTGACAGTTTACCTCCATTGCCACTATCCACTGAGGACAGTTTGCTCCGTAGATTCCGACCCGGGAACCCTGGTATAGTATAAGCCAAACAAAGAAGCATCAGTTCGTCTGATCCATTTGAATGTTCTAGGATCTCTAAAAAATGCGAAAAGGCCAGTTCACAAATAATGGAAAAAAGGGGTCTATTTTACATAGCTTAAGTTTGTGCTCTTACTGGTTTCACTCCCAGGTGCTGCAAACCAGAGCCAGCTTGCAGCACCTCATCATAGATCTCCTTGTATGATTTCCACAAGTAGGGCCCTGGCTAGAAAATGAAAACAGAGAAGTTTTTACCAGTTATACAGACGAAAACTGTAAATTAAGAAAGACCTGATATAGAATATTTACAATACTATCATTTATGAGGTTTATTTATGTGTGCATACCACTCCATCTTTAAACGGACGCCATCCAAGCATCCGGTTGTTGGGATACTTGCCTGCTGCTACCCTGCATAAGTGCATATAAACATATCAATTTTTACTAAGGTTTTCTAAGCACTGTACATAATTTGTGTGTGTAATACTACAAGTTTTGTAATTGAAAACCTAAAGAACAATAAAAAAAGAGTAGACATATGAGCTTGGTTGTTGTTTCAGTTGTGTGTTACCTGAACACATCCCATGATGTTTTCATGTCAGGCTCAAGTTCTGGGAATCCATCCTTGGCCAGCACGCTCCGGAACACCGGTCCTACCGCCGGCTGGCCGTCCTTTCCAGGCTTCCCGTCCTCCACTTTAATCGTGAAGACGTTCTTCGGATTTGCCTCCATCTCTCAGGATGGCACTGACCTGAGCCCTAAACATCCAGAACTCAAGGTTAGCTCCTCTGAGAAGCTTTTACTCTGTGGCTCCCTTCAATTACTCCATTGATTATTATAGTATATATAGCCCCAAGCAAAATGATCAATTTGAACTACAGCTATCCAAACCATAAATTCTCTGCGATCTGAAAGTTTGTTATGTGCCAAAAAAAAAAAAAAAAAATCTACTAAGCAAGGATTTAAATGGGAGGAGGGGAGCAAGCTTCCAGGGTCAGAGTATGAATTCTTTGTGATTATAAAAGGATATCCTTTGTGTGTGTGCGTGTGGCCGTATGCCCGTGTGTGTTGTCACTGCAATCTGAACAAGCAGTCGAAGAACATTGCCGACTTGCAGGTTTGGTTGATCAAACCTTATCGGGTGCAATCCGAAAGCAGGAGAGGCTGAGAGCCTGAGTCCTGAGAGAGAGAGAGAGAGAGAGAGCTTACAGAGAACAGAGCTTGGAGGAGGCAGAGCTCTTGGGCCGAGTTGAGAAGGAGCTCGCTCTGACGCCCTGTCGATGGGAGGAAGAAGAGGGGCTCTTTTCTTTCCTATATATGCTGAGAGGGAGGCGCCATGGCGAAGAGAAGTTGTGTGGGGATGGAGGAGAAGTGGCGCCGGCGGGCCCCCACGCTAACCAACCGAGCGCTGCTGAACCTGAAACTGCTTAACCCCAGGTTTAGAGAGAGAAACTGCCAAAGATTAAGCTTTTGTGTGTTGAGCGCGTGGAGAACCGATCTTTCTTCTTACGGAGAGATAGGTACTTGTTTATTGCAAATTTTTACAACCTGGACAGCGTAGTACGTTTTGTTTGTATTTGATAAATTTTGTTTGATTATAGACTAACCATGCTTAAAAGATCCATCTCGTGATTTACAACCAAACTGTGTAATTAATTATTTTTTTATCTACATTTAATGCCCATGTATGCGTTAAAATTGATGTGACGAAGAGAGTGAAAAAACTTAGAATTTAGAGGTGATCTAAACAATGCCTTGCGTCATCACGCGCGCGAGCAGAGGAGATATGGAAGAGAGAGAGACAGAGAGAAGAGAGAGAGAGCGAGGGTAGTTGGCCCAGGAATAATTGCTGCATCATCCTTTCCCAGTTTCCCTTGCCAGTTGGCCCCGTATGGGGTCAGTCTACACCTGTTATACAAAGCATGTTTTGTCATAATTCGTCCAGTCATCCACATGATCGACTCTCTTTTTTTTTGAAAGACATGATCGGCTCTCGAGGTTTGGTGCCGTTGTTTGTTGATTGTTTGGGCCGTGGAATTGAATCATACAGTGACTGGCCATGGTAACTGTCAAGTACCAAGAACAACATGATATACTTTGTACAATAAAGAAAATAAAATAAAATGAAAGCATAGCCTGCCCCGGTTTCAGGGGAAACCGAAGGCGGTGAGATCAGAGCACAGAAGCCTACAAAATCTATTTTTAAAAAAGTAGCACGGACAGCGTGACATGAGTTTTCAGAAAGATATAAAAAGTGAAGGGTCATACACAGATTCAGAAGCTTATTTTGTCTGAGTAGATATATATAGATCCATGAGATGTACTTGTCGCTAGCAACTTTAATAATCCCATCTTTTCTACAAAGGTTTCCAGATATGGCCGAGAAAATTCTCAAACCCCATGTTTTATCGGCGAGGGGATTCTTTTAACCAATTGATTTGGACGATGGCTGTCCAACCAACTTGCTACTCTCGTTCGTGGTTTTTATAGCTCAAAGTGTATAACACTAATTATGTATGTTCAAAACAAATCCATATGACATGAAAAAAATGAAGTGTTTAAAAACTTTTTGTAGAAAAAAATGCATGATCAAAATTGCTAAAGTAAAAGTTTTGGTCTTGTGCGGAGAACAAAAAATCTGAGGTCAAAGAGGCGTTGAAAAGGATAAAAGTAGGTAAGGCGATGGGACCGGATGGTATCCCAATCGAGGTGTGGAGATGCCTTGGGGACATAGCTATAGTATGGCTAACTAAATTGATCAACCATATTTTTCGATCGAACAAGATGCCTGATGAGTGGAGAAGTATATTGGTATCATCTACAAGAATAAAGGGGATATTCAAAGTTGTACTAATTACAGGGGAATTAAGTTGATGAGCCATACTATGAAGTTACGAGAGAGAGTTATCGAGCATCGCTTGAGAGCAATAACGCGGGTCTCTATGAACCAATTTGGTTTTATGCCCGGAAGGTCAACCATGAATGTCATTTTCTTAATAAGACAAGTTATGGAGCGGTATAGAGAGAAGAAAAAGGATCTACACATGGTTTTTATTGACTTGGAGAAGGCTTATAATAAAATACCAATAAATATTATGTGGTGGGCTTTGGACAAATATAAAGTCACAACAAAGTATGTCGGGCTCATTAAGGACATGTACAACAATGTTGTGACTAGAGTTCGAACAAGTGATGGAGACACGGATGACTTCCCGATTAGGATATGACTACATCAAGGGTCAGCTTTGAGCCCTTATTTGTTTGCCTTAGTGATGGATGAAGTCACAAGGGACATACAAGGGGACATCCCTTGGTGTATGTTTTTCGCGGACGATGTAGTGCTAGTTGATGAAAGCCGGACATGAGTGAATCAGAAACTGGAGTTATGGCGGGAGACTTTGGAGTCCAAAGGTTTTAGACTTGGTAGAACTAAAACTGAGTATATGAGATGTGACTTCGGCACTACTACTCGGGAGGAGGAAGATATTAGTTTGAAAGGTCAAGTAGTGCCTAGCAAGGATATATTTCGATATTTAGGATCAATGCTACAGAGAGGCGGGGATATTGATGAAGATGTTAGCCATAGAATTAAAGCAGGGTGGATGAAGTGGCGGCAAGCATCTGGTGTCCTATGTGACAAAAGGGTACCACAGAAGCTAAAAAGTAAGTTTTATAGGACGGCGATTAGACCTGCTATGTTGTATGGTGCATAATGTTGGCCTACGAAAAGACGACATGTTCAACAGATAAGTGTCGCGGAAATACGTATGTTGCGTTGGATTTGCGGTCATACAAGAAGGCTTGTCCACAAAAGACGACATGTTCGGAACGATGATATACGTGATAGATTAGGGTAGCACCAATTGAAGAAAAACTTGTCCAACACCGGTTGAGATGGTTTGGACATGTTCAACGGAGACCTCCAGAGGTACCGGTGCGTAGTGGAATCCTAAGCCAGGATAGTAACGTGAAGAGAGACAGAGCAAGACCGAAGTTGACTTGGGTAGATGCAATAAAAATGAGACTTAAAATGATGGAATATATCCAAAGATTTAGCCTTAGATAGGAGTGCTTTAGCCATACTATGAAGCTATGCATGTGTCTGAATCTTGATTGCTTTTGCTGGGTTTTAACTTTAGCCTACCTCAACTTGTTTGGTACTTAAAGGCTTTGTTGTTGTTATTGTTGTTGTAAAAGTTTTGGTCTTAACTAAGGCCCTGTTTAGATTCAAAAATTTTCACCCCAAAGTATCACATCGAATCTTGCGGCACATGCATGGAGTACTAAATGTAGACGAAAAAAAAACTAATTGCACAGTTAGGTGAGAAATCGCGAGACAAAACTTTCGAACCTAATTAATCCATAATTAGATACTAATTATCAAATATAAATGAAAATGCTACAATTGCCAAACAGTAGCCAAACCCAAAAAATTTTTTTTTTTTTTGAACTAAACGTGGCCTAAACAAAAACGAAAGGGAGTATGACGTACGGAAACTAGTTTTGTTTCGTACAGTGAAGGAGAAGATAGAGATGGAGCCGTCCACAAGGGCAATCTGGAGATATGCCTGCTCCTGGTGAACTGGTGATGGGTGTCCTCTCAGCATCGACGTGCCTTTGTGGTTGGAAGGTAACGTTACTACACATTGCACGCGCTTTTGTTGGCTATCCTGCTTTCTGTCTAGTTTGCTGTTATCTCTCTTTTCTTATTTATACGTGTGGTACCGTTTGATAATCTTCATCTTTATTTTTCTCCCTATGGTTTATAGTTTTGCATCAATGAAATTGGAGTTAAGTTGATCTGACATTGGTCTGGGATCCGACAGAGATCCTGTCCAACTCGTCGGGGGGAAAAAGATGACTGAGCGTGTAACGCTGCCGATGCAACTATCGTGCCTTCCTATTTCATGGTGAAAGGATTTGTCACGACGGCCTAATAAATACTAGTGTCTAAGAATTAGTTTTTTATGTCACTATTAAGTCTGGATTAATCAGTTGCCAACTTGTCTTGTCTTGTCATCATTGACTGAATCGTGTTTTCCTTTCAGTTAAGATTCTGAATTTAAACTTGGAAACTGATATATGGCAAATTGTCCGGTATCTCTCTTAGGGATACCCAAAGCAAGTAAGTTAGCGTCACGATGACTGCCTCGGATGGCTCGAGACGTATTAAAAGGTCTCGTCCGACCTCTTGTGTGCGGGCTTCGTCTCGCCCAACCTTAAGGCCGTGGGCTTCGTCTCGTCTGACACTAAGGCCGCGGGATTCGTCTCGCCCGACCCTTTGGGTGCGGGCTCCGTCTCGCTCGACCCCGCGGGTGCGGGCTCCGTCTTGCCCGACCCCTCGGGCGCGGGCTCCGTCCTGCCCTACCCCAACGCCGCGGGTTCCGTCTCGTCCAAGGTCGCGGGCTCCGTCTTACCCGATCCCAAGGACGCGGGTTTCGTCTCGTCCGACGGGGACCCATACCGCCGCCAACCACTCCAGGTCCAAGCGTATGAGCTTGGGTCAAAACTCTGACACCAGGGAAGAAGCTGGCATGCCTCGATGTAACCCGTGGTCATGACGGGCCATACCTGGCGATTCACATCAGGAGCAGTGTTGGGCGTGTCGGTACTGTTCTGTCTAATCCTCGTACGGACGCTGACAGGCGCGTCAGTTCACCGCGATGTCCGCCGGGACGGAGTGGAACGCCATGATCGGCAGATGACACCTGCGTATGGCGCCAGTGACGAAC